CTCTTCCTGCCGGGCCTCACTCCGCCCTGCCGCTCGCCGGGGGCTCTTCTCCGCCATATTGCCCGCGGGGTCCGTGGTTGGGTGCGGGGCGCCATGTCCAGCCCTCCCCAGGCCCTGTCCCGCAGCGGGACCCCGACGTTTGGGGCCTTCTGGGACGGCGCAAAATTCCCCCACCACCACCTCCCGGGAGGTGCCAACACTGCGTGAGCCTCTGTCCTCTGCACCCCACACTTCCACTTTTCACAGGGCAATTAGTGTTAATGAGACAAAGGAGACTCAGCAGTTGAGACCCCCCGGTGAAGGAAAGGAGCCGGCGTTATGGGGCCTGTAGGTTAGACGGCGGTTATTTCATGTGGGATATGTAGCGAGTCCTTGGAGCAGGGGCTGGAAGCTTCCAGAGCTGCTCATTGCCAACATATTTAGACTTTCATCAGGGAGCTACGAAATCGGTCCCCTTGGAGACGAGGCAGAACTGCAGCAGGTCTCTGACCTCCTGGCCGGACGCCCTGGCCATGGAGAGAGGAGATAAACAGAGAGCAGCAGCTCTTTCCTCCCCAGTCCTGTAAGGAAAAGACTCGCTTCCTCCGCGCACGTCCCTGGGCAGTCCCGGCTCCTGCAGGAGACCCGGGGGGAAACCTGCAGCCTCTGGACGATGGCGTTTTCCAGGCAAGGTGGCCAGAAAGGTGATGTTTTGGATGTGCTTCTTCCCCCACCTCCTCAATCACCTCTCCCAGGTGCTCTTGCCGTAGCAGGTTGGGTTTATGGCTGCAGCCGTTGGCTCTCCACACCCTTCGTGTCGTCTTTGACACACATCGAGGTACAAGGGCCAGGCTGGGCGCCGATGGAGTTTGGCCCATCTCACACTCGCTGTCTCTTCGGCTGATAAAACGCGTGATGAAACGTTGGCGATACCTCCGCTGGGGTGGCAGTGGGCAGGCGGCTGCTGCAGGGGGGAACAGTGCTGCATTCGAGGCAGTCATCCCTCTGCAGGGGTGTGCGTTTGTGGCTGTAATTTCCTCTCCCGGGTCTTATCACTTGAAACAAATCTGTCTGAAGAGACTTGCCAAAACCCTTTGGTTTTTCAGAGGAGAGGAAGGAAGCGTGTAATGAAGATTACCTCCGCTCCCCACTGGAGGCCGTGCGGACGGTTTGCCTCGTGGGGCAGGAGGTTGGGAACGCTCCCGGCAAGCGACTTGCTCCGGGGCGGCTGGGGCTGTGTGCCTCAGACACCCTGCAAGCCAAGGAGCCCCCGGGCAGTTTTATGATCTGTTATCTCGGAGGCCTTCAAGGCACTTAGATAAAAATGTCGTAACACTCATACGGGTGTTAATTGAGTTCCCTGAGATTAATCCAGGTCTAGTCCTAGGAGTTCTCCTGGCTTTGGGGACAACATGCAAGCTGGCTGTGCTGAAAAACACCATTATCTTTGTTTGCACGGGTGTTTCAGTGCCAAACCCTTTAATTCAACAGCTCGTACTTGGGGCCCGTGGTGGCTGGGAAGTTGCTCCGGTAGCTACCATGCTGAGCTGCAGGAGAGCCCGTAGTTTGGGGTCATCAGACCTGTAAAATGGAAATATTGCAGAGCCTTAAATGGAACTATTGCTGGCAGCAAGTTCCCAGGGAACTGCTCAGCACCCGGCAGGCAATAGGATTTGTTCCAGCAGTCACTTAGGACTTTAAAGCTGAAAGTAGAAGAAGTACAAGGGAAACCACACATCTGTGTGTACCTTAGATTAGCTCTTGCAGTTCTCTGACCCGGGTGAGGGTTTTGCCGGGACGCCTACGCCATGGTTCACTCGGGGAAGTGGCACTGGTCCTGGGAAGCCGAACCCGGGGTGGCCCTGACGGGCTTGGGTCTCCTGGCCAGGGACTGTCCCGCTCGCCTGCTGGAGGTTGGCCTGCTCCAAAAAATGCTCATCCCGTGGGATCATGGGATCAGCAGCGGTCCCAGCAGGGCTTCGCCCGGGGTGGAGGAGATGCCCGTTCCTGCCTATCGGAGACCCTGTGGCCTGATGGGGGGGTGGGGGTGTCCCGTGGGGTGGCCCCACGTGTGTTCGGGACATCCCTTGGCTGCTCCCACCCCCCCGGGGGCTCCCAGCTCCCATCCTGTCCCCGAGTCACCCCGCAGCCGGGGAACGCTTCACTAGGTGGCAGTCTCGGCTCGAGCAAAGGGACCAGCACCAGACAAGGCTGTACTGGGAGGACTGGTTTCTGCCCAGTGCTGTCCGCCAGTTGTTTGCCCTGCAAGGCCAGACCTCGAGCTGTCCTCACTTCCTCCTCCCCAGGACCCCCCCGACAGGCCCCAGCAAGTTTGGGTCAGTCTGGGGTGGTTTCTCCTGAGTCTGTGGGGCTCAGCAGGACAGAGGTGCTGGTGGCCACGGGTGAGCGGGACCGGGGCAGCTGTCACCAGCTCAAGGTAGCCAAGACGATGCTTGAGCATCGGCTCATCCTTTGCTTCAGATCTGGGTGATAGACTGATGCACAGATTTATTTTTTTTTATAGTAAAACAAGTGCTGTAGAGCTATTTTTGGCTCTCCCGCTGTCCTTATCAGGTCTTTGGGGCTGCTGAGGCAAAAAACCCTTCCCGTGCCCAGACTTCACTGGTCCTGGCGGTGCGAGAGGGTGTTTGTTGGAAAGCATCCCAAGCACACAGGAACCTGTGGCCTCTTGTGCCCAGAGCATCTCCGTGCCCAGGCACCGAGGCAGAGAGCTGGGCACGAGGTGGTGGCAGGAAAGCCATAGGAAACACCATCTTTTCTTGCAGAGCCTGTGGCAGTCGCGCTCTGGCAGCCCCATCGTGATCCTTCGGGATGTGCAGACTGCCTCGAAAGCATCGCCTGCTGAGGGGCACAAATCTGAGACCATCCGTCTCATCACCAAGGACTTAATCCGTGACCTCATGTAAGTCTGTGCATGAGTGGCAGCTCTGAGGAGTTTTCAGGGCCCCGTGTGTCTGTCACAGCACTGTCTCGGTGCACAGAGCTTGTCCCACCATTTTCCGGGATATCTCAGGGGAGGAGGGATGGGCAGGAGTGCTCCGATACGCCTGGCTTGGGCAGCAGTGGAGCCAACAAGCACTGAGCACTGGGCGTTTTACAGAGGCACTGAATCACCACGAGAAGCAGTGAAAAGCAACATAAAACTTCAGCAGCCAGAAAAGCTCCTTCTGGGCTGAACAGCCCCCCATCATGTGTCAAACGCTGCCTCCCGTGCTGTGATACTGAAAACCCCCATGTGAGAAAGGCAGTGGAGCATTGCCTGCAGCCCCTGAGCACCGGGAGCTGTGTGTTTCTCTACAGGGATGTTTTATAAGCAAAGCTGAACTGTAGGAACCCTGGCCCTAATTACTACGCTCCTTAAAAGCCTGCAGCACATAGACGAGAATAGGGCCATTATCCTGGCCAGCTCCAATTTAGCCTCATTTTGACCTCCCTAAATTTTCCTTGTAGTTGTTCAGTGTAAGGTTCATCTTCGCTTCCTGTTTTGAACCTCCCTGTAATACTCTAACACCCCGTAAAATATGACACCTGCCCCATGGATGGTTTGGGGTTTGTGGGAGTGAAACGGCACAGAGGCACTGGTTCGGGCTTTCAAGAGTGGTACCTGGTTTTATACGGTCACGTTCTTATTTGACCCTGCTGCCAAAGCTGAGCGCCAATTTGCAGATGTGCTGCATAGCCACAGCTCCAGCTGAGGCCAATGGAAACTGTTTGTGCTGGTTTTATTCCTGAAAATCAGGCCCTAGACATCTCGGGCTGGTCACCCAAACACTGGGACAACTGAAGCAGTGGCCACTGTGTCATTACATTTATTAGTGCCGTTGTGACCATTAGCCATTCTTTAAAGCGTCCTGGAATCCGATGCTGTGATGCAGCTCTCGAATGATCATTATGCAGGTATCTGTTCATATTCACAAGGGTGGATGAAAGGTGACACACAATAATAATGAGTAAATTCTTAGTCCTGAACATCTTCAAAGTGCTCTATGCATTTGGTTAATATACGCTCCTACACCACACGCGTCACCATGGTATCTGAGTAATACACAGAGTAATTAACTCCTTACAACTCCCCTGGAAAACAGCCCCGTATTATTATCCACATTTTTACAAGTGGGGAAATGGGGGCACCAACAGCTTCGGTGATTTCCTCTAAACCACAGCATGAGTCATGGGCAGAGTTCGTGGCTCTGCAGTGTCCCGTGGAGCCGGGGTGACAGCTGGAGTGACACCTGCCAGCGCTGGGAGGGGAGCGGGTGCTCCGTGTTTGGGCAGCACCGCGTTTCCGCGTCTCGTGCCGGATGGATTCCCGAGGCCGCGGAGCCGAAGCTGAGCTGTGCTGTGCAGGTTTGGAGCTGGAGCAGGCCGAATGTCATTAAACTGAGCGAAAAAGCACCTTCTGCTCCCCAGGACTTGTCCGCATGGACCAGAGGTTTTGGTCCGGCTCGCAGGAGCAGCGACAGTCGGCCGGGGGGTGAGGGGGCAGAGATGAGCAATGTGTCCTGCTGGAAAAGGGGTCAGGGCGGTGGTCAAAATTTTCCCAAAGGAGGTTTGGGAAAGTCAAGTTGGACTGAAGTACTTCCAGCATTTTTTTTTTATTGGGTCTGACTAGGCCCACACTGAATGTTTTGGGGTTTTCCTGGGAGGCCCGTGGCCACCCCGCCGAGCACCCTGTCTCCCGTGCATCACTGCATGGCGCCGCTTTCACTGCACTTTCTGTTTCTTCCTCCCCCCCGACCCAGAGAGTCGGGTCCCCCCAGCTCAGGCGGTTCCTGCATTGCTCTGGGGTGAGTCCTGGTGGTGTGGGCAGCCCAGGCAGGTCCTGCGGCCGGGCAGGGAGGTCAGCGGGGCAGGGAACAGGGAGCTGTCGGAGACTCTGTGCCGCTGACTGCTGCCTCTCTGTGCCCAGTGTCCCTGCAGAGAACCCAGCAGCATCCCTCATTATTGGTCAGGAGGATTTCCAGCGCATTAAAGCAGCAGCTCGAGTCCTGACCGAGGAGGAGCGTGAAGCCAAGCTGGCAGCCCTCAAAGCAGAGAAGGAAGCCGTTCATGTAGGTGTTTCCCCTCCTGCCCCTTCTTTCCCTGCTTGCTGGCTGCTCTCGGGCCGTGGGTGGAGGTGGAGGCACCCAGGCAGAGCCAACCTTGTGGGACAGAGACACGCCAGCCAGGGCTGCTCCGGAGCTCGGTTTGGCGGCCACCACATTCCTCCCTCTTTCGCCCACGTTTTGGTGTGCCCACGGCTGCTGGGGCGGCGTGCAGGGGCTGTGTGTCCCGGGTCTCCTCTGATCCCCAGCCCAGGAAGGGCCGTGCAGGACCCCCGGGTTTGCCCAGTCCATGGGTGGGGAAGGAATCCCATGCTGGTTGTCCCCCTCCAGCCCACGGTGACCCCGGAGCTGTTATGAAGGCTCTGTGCTGCATTTTTGCCACCCTGCAAAGGGAGCGGGTGTGTGGGACGGGGCGACCCAGCCCCTGGGCCAGCGCTGGAGTAGCCTGGCGTGCCCCTCGCGAGCCAGGCTCTCGGCAGCCCTGCCTGTCCCTCCAGGAGGCAGCGAGCGAGCGCAAGAGTGCGGCCAAGGAAAAGGCCGTCCTGCAGCAGCAGAAGGGGAAGCTGAGTGAGCTGGAGGAAGAGGCACGGGAGCGGGCCCAGTACCTGCTGCAGCGGGCGAGCAGGCTGCGCATGGAGCAGGAGGATGAGATCAAGGAGTTCAGCGAGGTAGGGAGAGGGGCTCCTGCTCGGACAGGCTGCTCAGGGCTCCCTTGAGCTTTGCCTAGCCACCCTGGACCTTCCTATACTTGCTGCTACCCAGGGTCTTCCCCTCCTTCCCTTTTCCTCCGTGTCTGTGTGTCTGTCCCTGCTGCCACTGCCAAGTCTGGCTCAGAGACCAGGGATACCTGTTGTCCTCACAGCTGATCCTTGGTGCCAAGTGCCACATGATCCGTGACACGCAGATCCTCGAGAAGCGGCTCATTGCAAAAGAGCTGGAGGAAGAAGAGAAGCGCCTGGCCACAATGATGGAGGTGGAGAGGAAAAAGGCCGAAGAGATGCAGGAGAAGCTGGAGCGCAGGAGGAAGCAGGAGCTGATCAGGTTTGCAAAAGGGTCCCTCTTCCCCGCAGAAACATCCATCCTCTTCCCAGGCCCTGTGCCAGAGCCAGGGTAAGCCCTGGCTACCGGCGTCACACCACAGCACACCTCCAGGTCACAGCGGCTGGACCAGGCAGCACGAGGCAGCAAACACACCACCTGATGTCTGTGCCGGCATTTCTGCTTCTGGGAACGGGACGGAGCTGGGGGGAACCCTTCCACTTTCTTCTTTCCAGAGGGAGGCAGGAGATTGTGAAGCAGATGGAGCAGAACGCGGAGGAGCGGGCTATGAGAGCCGAGCAGCGGGACCAGGAGGCTCAGGAGATGCTGGAGCACCTGGAGCAGCTGAAGATGGAGGACCTGAAGGTGCGACCTGCCAGGGAGCAGGGGGGGCTGGAGTTAGATTTTCACCTTGTTGGAAGGGTGACCCAGTGCTGGGTAAGTCAGACTTGATGTGTGGAGACAACAGCTGGCAGAATTAAAGCTCTGGTCTCTTGGGGAATTTGAGGCATCCCCAGAAAGTGACCTGAGCCGCTGAGCCCTCCCTTGCCCGGAGTGTGCTGCTGTGCCCTCAGGAAGACACACGGGGAGGAGTGGAGTGGAGGCAGCGCTCTGTGCTAGCGCGCTTGCCCTGTCACCCCCGGACCCTCTGCACCGTTTTCAGGACTTGGAGCGGAGACAGGAGCAACAGAAGAAAATCCAGGCTGAGATTAAACGTGTCAATGATGAGAACCAGAGGCTGAAGGAGGAGCAGCGAGAGCAGGAGAGGATGGCAGACGAGCGGGTGCTCGAGTACCAGAGGCAGAAAATGGTAAGAGGACTGAGCGTGTGTGTGCAGCAGAGGTGCTGCAGGAGCTGCCACGATGCTCTGTCCCATGCAGGAGCGGGAGGCTGAGTTTGAAGCTGAGCAGGAGAGAATCCGTCAGGAGAAGGAAAAGGAGATGGCACGCTTGAGGGCCATGCAGGAGAGGGCCCAGGACCACCAGGCAGAGCAGGTGAGCAGCGTGCTGACACACGGTGTGCTCCTGTGCTGGCTCACTCGCCACCTTCCTCGCCACTGCCCCAGCAAAGCGAAAGCGCCCCTGATGTGGTGGGTCTCCTGGTGCGTTGCAGATCTGCACCAGCACCCGAACCCAGGTCATGTCCTGGTGCAGTGCTGACCATGGCGCTGGGAGAGAGGCATAACCATGGTCAAGTGTTTCCGTACCTCTCCCCTGAGGGAAGCCCTCCATGACACCTCCAGCGTCACCACTGTTCCCCTTCGACAGGACGCGCTGAGGGCCAAGCGCAGCCAAGAGGCTGCTGAGCGAGAGTGGCGGCGCAAGGAGAAGGAGGCAGTGCAGAGGAAGGCTGAGGTGGAGCAGATGCTGAAGCAGAGCCGCCTGGAACAGATTGCCCAGCGGGAGCACAACATGGCTGTGCAGGTGCAGCAGGACCGCCATGAGTTTGAGAGGATTCTCAGGTGAGAGTGAAGGTGCTGAGAGCTTGCTGGTGAGATGGCCGGCCCTGCCATGTGAAACGGGGCTGAGAGATGGGTGATGTGGTTTCAGAGGGGCTCCCAGCGACAAGTCATAGAATCACAGAATGGTTTGAGCTGGAAGGGACCTTAAAGCCCATCTAGTTCCACCCCCCTGCCCTGGGCAGGGACACCTCCCCCCAGCCCAGGTCGCTCCAAGCCCCGTCCAACCTGGCCTTGAACACCTCCAGGGATGGGGCAGCCACAGCTTCTCGGGGCAACCTGCCCCAGGGGATCACCACCCGCACAGCCAACAATTTCTTCCCCATCTCTCACCTCAATCTCCCCTCTGTCAGTGTCAAAGCGTTCCCCCTCGTCCCACGGCTCCCCTCCCTGATCCAGAGTCCCCCCCAGCTCTCCTGGAGCCCCTTTAGGCACTGGAAGGGGCTCTGAGCTCTCCCCTTTTTGGCCTTCTCTTCTCTGAACCCCCCCAACTCTCCCAGCCTGTCCTCCCAGCAGAGGGGCTCCAGCCCTCCCAGCATCTCCGGGGCCTCCTCTGGCCCCGCTCCAACAGGTCCATGCCCTTCTTGTGCCCGTCAGCACAGTTGGTGGTTCTGGTGCTGGCCGAGGCCCTGCGAGCAGGTTATCGGCACATGCAGGGGCTGGATCGGGGCCCTTCAACTGCCCTGAGCTCTCCCGCAGGGTCCAGCGGGAGCAGATGGAGAAGGAGAAGGCAGAGGAAGCGCGGAGGGCAGGTCTGCAGCTCGCCCATGCTAACGACGTCCGGCGCCAGATGCGGGAGCGGCAGCAGCAGCTGGCGCAGGAGCGGGTGGCCACCTTCGAGGAGTGCCGGCGGCTGGAGGAGGAGGCTCGCCAGCGCAGCCAGCGCATCGCCCAGTTCAAGCAGCAGAAGATGCAGGAGCTCAGGTGATGTGCTGCCAGTGGCTGCTTATTTCCCTG